GAGATGAAAAAGAAAAACAGTTCATGGTTTCTCTATGTAATTAAAGGTGTGATCTTGAGATGAATACTTAAGCCACATAAAATCTTGACAAGGAGGGCTATTTTATCTTTCTGAGTTAGACAACAAAGTTATAATTTTCCTCTTCTTTTGTTGGCTGCCTGCACACATGCACACCTATACATGTTTTTATTGCTATCATGAAGAAATGTCAAAAGAATATTAGAGCTGAAAAATCAAATACCCAGAAATTAGGACATGTTGGAATTAAGGTTGATTACAGCATTGGCCAACTTGTCTGTTGCTACCCAGCATTCCTATACAGCATTTGAATGTACATGTAAGAATGAAAAAATATACATTGTGATTTTTTTTAAAGTTTTTACTCAGGGCTAGCTACTCTGAGTTTAGGATTTGGTAACGTGGTAATCATCTCTGATAGCCTTTGGCCTTATTGCACACGTCGCGGCGTCAGAACTACGCGCACAGAATACATTTTGCATTTATTCAATCTGGTTCTGGTCTTTTGTTTGTGTAGTCCAGTCCCAGGTGCTACGCAAGGAAATACAGTTGTTGAATTAAGACTCTATAAGATTCAGATTCCATAAAGCTCATTTGATTTTTACTACTATTATCTAGTAACAACTCCAGCTCATGCCACTACTTAATAAACCAGCGTCTCCACCTTAGCTACTCCTGATCTCTGCATCTTGGGGTAGATGTGGAGTATATAATGGGTCTGAAACCACTTAGGGTCTATATTGCAGTCCCTCCTGTGATTGCAGCTCATGAAAACACACTGAAGCTAATATCAAACTAGCTCAGGTATTGTTACAACTGTAACCACAACAGCTTGGAAATCAGTACAGCCTGCAAATCCCACTTGAGAAGCTGAGCCAGCACTTGGGCGTTTTCAGTCCACGGTGAGCACTCTGCTACTGTGGCTACACTGCCAATAGCACCCAAGCTAGGGACACTAAGGCTTGCCCAGGTATGTCTATGCAATCACTGCCTTAGAGAAATGCCCTTTGCCAACAAGGCCACAGAGAGGATGTTACCTACGTTTCTGATGCTATCTGCTCACAGGAAGCAAAAGAAAAAGTCTGGTGTATGACCTACAGGCCAGGTACAGACATTACACGTATGCTGGTAAAAGTGACCAAAAACTGGTAACTGAACAGAAGTTCAGCGTACGTAGATTGGTTTTAAAATGGCAGAACCCAGTCTAAGGTCTGGATCGATCTGCACTCAGACTTAATCAATTTAGATTAGACTGGTACATCAAACTTCAGTACCGGATGCCCTATCAGTTTATGTTAGGTCACCGTTTACAGCATCCCAGGTACCTTTGCACCACCCCACTAGCCCTCTCTTGCAGGGAGGCATGGTAACACTCACCCCATGCTCCACTGCTCTGGCCGAGTGCCCGACGGGCACCACTCCTGAGCTGTCACAGTGGTGAGCCAGCACAGACTCTCTCCCCAGCTCTGCCTCTGGCCAGCTGTCAGCCTGTGCAGGCAGGGGGAAGGGGTCTGTGTCCCTGCTTGAGCCTCAGCACCAGCAGCAGCCCAGCAGGATGCACCAGGCAGCCCAGGAGGCTCATGCTGGGCAGCAAGGGGAGGGGGGTCTCTGTTGGGGGAAGGATTGGGCCCCTCAGAGCTTGACACCAGCGACCCAGGAGGCAGTGGGGAAAGGAGGACTCCCCAGTCTCCTGCTGCTGGCTGTCACTGGTGCTGAGCTCCAAGGGGCCCAATCCTCCGCTTGTCAGATCCTCCCTGTCTTCGCTGCCCAGCATGGTCTGCTGGGCTGCCGCTGGGGCCGGGGCTCATGCAGGGACACAGACGCCCCCCACCCACCTGCAGCTGACAGCTGGACAGAGGCAGAAGGCCAGACTGAGGAGAGAGTCTGTGCTAGCTTGGCATTGTGACAGCCCGGGGACGGGGCCCGTACAGAAGTGCCCCCAACCTGTCTATGGTTAACCTGCCAGCCCTGGCCAATGCAGGCAGCCTGCGCCTCCCCCCCAAAGGCAAACATGTGTTCTGCTTGTTCCCAATCTAACCTATGCTGCTTACAGAAACCTGCATCGGTGTGATCTAGTCCACCTCGGGCTTTTTGAATGTCTGCACCCAGCCACAGTCTATGTGCATAGCTTTCATATTTAAAAAAAAATGTTCGTAAGCCCAACACAAAATTCATGTATCAACATTTGTATTTCATAATGCACCGAGGCTGCCTAATCCCTCTGTGAGCTTGCAGCTTGCCAGCTCGTGTACGGGATCAAAGAAACAGTTTGGTAATAGATGAAAGGTCTAAAACTGATCTAGCAACTCCACTTTTCTGCATTCCTTTGCACAAGGATTCCTCAGCTTGTGGGAGACTTCTTTCTGAGCTGCAGAAAGCTGGTGATTTAGCAGGTGACGGTGATTTAGCAGGTGACAATAGCCTTTGGGTTAATACTTAACTAATGCACTGGCCTGGCATTACAGCTACAGGGGTGTGTCCCTCTTATACCAGACATAAAACTGAGGACTCGAGTACTTCCCATCTCAAGGCCAAATTTCAACGTCTCTCATTACAATCTGCTTGCCTCAAATACCCGTGCAGTTTTAATTAGATAAGTTGTTTCCTTCCTTCACAGTCTGTCTCACCATGCAGCACTACTGTGTTTTGTTAACTACCTGCCATGTTGCGTCTGAGAGGTGGCTATGGTTCAGTAGTGCATAAAGTGATTTCTGCATGTCGCTTGAATTGGCTGCCGTTCCATTGCTACGTTTGACCGAAAGATGCGCTATAGAAATGGAGGCTTGACCAAGGTGATAGGTCATAAAAGCAGGTGCTCGGGCTTTTTCTTGCTGCTTGTCTGAGTGGTATGACTTCCATCCAATTAATGACCCCCTATCTGAGCACCAGTTTATAGGGCATTGTGGAGTGGAGTGTCTCAGTGGTTTCTATTAAAGCTGTTCCACTCAGCAAGCATGGAATAATTAAATACTTAGTGGACAAGATGGAGGGGGTAGAAGGAGAGAGTGCGTGACTCTGCCATAACTTAGTAGTTACAGTATTCACCTAGGAGGAAAATCCAGGTTCCAGCTCTGATGGACATTTAAGCATGTTTCTATTAAACATTCATAGGGGCAGGGACCACATCCCTGATTTCTTCTCTCTAAGAGGAGTGTTTTAACCCCTGGGTGACAGAGATAATCTTGTTCTCACTCTGCAGTATAATGGCCATTACTATTCCATGTAAAACAGCGTAATCCAATAGGAGGGAATGAGAACACCCTCTCACTGCAGAATACTCTACTCTCTTCTCGATCAATCACAGCTTGGTCAGCTAAGCGTTTTTATACAAGAAAGACAGGATTTGTGCTCTGTGAAGCGTTTGCTGAGTAGTTGTTAGTCAGTATATTATCCAAGGTATGCTGAACTGTTGTGAAAGAAGAGGAAACATATCTTGAGCTCAAGCTGATCGTAATGAAGAGTCTCCTGCCACAAGTTCACTACAATTTGAACTGGATTTAACTATTATATATTTCATTCCAGTTTTGAAAAGAAGTGTTATCGACAAGAAATTGACAGTAAGTTGGAGGCATAAATTTCAGATAACCACAGCTTAGATTGAGAGTCTCATATAAATCCCCAGGATTTCTATAATGTGCTATGGGACAGATGGGGGATGCTAAAAAATGATACAGCACAATGACTAGTGCTTGTCATTGTCAGTATTCGATGGTGGTTTATTATAATGTCCCTGAAGGAGAATGGGAGAACAACGCACTGTTCTGTTTTTAAAAGCTTTTCAGCATCTTGCGGGTATGAAGCACATGTTTTAGAGACGGAATCGTTATATTTGGCTTGGTCTTAAAGCTGAAGAAACTAAAACAAAAATAAATGTACACTTAAAAATGCACAACCAGCAGTTGGTTATAATAAAATAGGCTGTACTCCAGCAAATGATTCACTTTGACAACAAAATATTTTCACGTAGAGGATCCTCTCATCACTAATCTTAGTATGCTTTCAGCAACATTAGCAACGCCAGACAACAAAAAAAGTTGATCAGTGTTTAGTAGTAAAGTCTGTGTAATCACAGTACATCTCTCCCAGATGAGGCACCATCATCATCTTCTACCAGCCCAACAGAACTATTATGGTCCCTCATCTGTTGTTATAAACCTGACATCACCAATTCCTGTCTTCCTGGGAGCTTTTTAATAAGCAAATGTCTATGGTTAACCAGTGATATGTTGCAGAATGAAATAACCTAACAGGGATAACTTATGTAGAAAAAGGCCATGCACTGCTCAAGGCAGGAGAGTGAGGATTTAATAACCTTTATCTGGTTTAGCGTGACAGCAGCACACATACAAACGGGAAGGTGCAGCAAGGCATCGGAGATGCTCTGTTCACCAGGGCACCTCTTGGCGTAACAAGAAACAATGGTCACAAACTGACAGAGAGCAGATTTAGGCTAGACGTCAGGAAAAACTTCTTCACGGTAAGGGTGGCCAAAATTTGGAATGGGCTTCCAAGAGAGGTGGTGCTGTCCCCTACCTTGGGGGTCTTTAAGAGAAGGCTGGACAGGCACCTGGCTGGAGTCATCTGACTGCAGCGCTCTTTCCTGCCCAGGCAGGGGGTCGAACTCGATGATCTGTTGAGGTCCCTTCCTACCCTAGCATCTATGAATAGCAAGATAAATGCCTTGGCTATGTTCCCCTTGCCTACAATTTTTTTCTAACCTTCTTCCCGTATTTGGTAATTTTTCAGTGGTCAGCACCATTTGATATTACCTAACTTCACCTGCTGCATATATATGCTGTGCTAGCACCTATGGCCCAGCTAGGTCTCACACTGCCAACAACGTCAAAGTTACTGTCCATAATCTTTGGTCACTTACAATCCATTCGCTATCAGGTGGACTTGGACGTATTCACATACGGTAAAAAAAAAAAAAAATGCAAAATAAACATTTTTCTTTGTCTACTTCCCGTTGTCTTCCCCAGAGATCCAAAATAGCCGTCTATGAGAAAATGTGGTCTTACATGAAGTCGGCAGAGCCATCCGTGTTTACCAAAACGACAGCCGACGGCGTGGCCAGAGTGCGCAAGTCCAAGGGGAAGTTTGCCTTCCTGCTGGAATCGACCATGAACGAGTACATTGAGCAGCGGAAGCCCTGTGACACAATGAAAGTTGGTGGAAACCTGGATTCCAAGGGCTATGGTGTAGCAACTCCAAAAGGCTCAGCATTAAGGTGGGTGGAATAATATAACAATATCCATGTTGTTATAGTATTCCACCTACCCTGATGTATTGTGTTGTCATTTTCTTTCTTGTGGATTTTTGAGGTAACTTTAACGTTTAAAACCTTCAATACTCCATGGAGTTAAATAAGACGGTAAATTATGGTTTCATTTACTTAATGCATCCATTTTTTAATGTTCTCTTCGTGTTGTCCTTTCTGATTGTTTGTTGCTGTTTTAATTTTACAGTTCAATGGCTTTTTCAATTTAAATGGTAAAAGCCAAGTTAACCTGCCTTATGTGACGAATGTTAACTGCATGATGTGGTGTTCTTGTTACTTTTTTTCTCAAAGACAATTTCCCCATCCCGCACACTTCAGTTTTGAGCAAATGTTATCCTCCATGCCACCTTCCAATATTTAACCCTGTATTTGCTGTACAGACATTTTTATAGCTCCACGTTCTGTGAAATTTAGCCAATTTGTCCTCTTGTGCTCCTTTTTTTATACGTTACGATTTCCTAAGCATTTGTGCATTTTCTTACAAGTTATGTTTTATCGTTTCAAGAAATGCTGTTAACCTGGCAGTATTAAAACTGAATGAGCAAGGCCTCTTGGACAAATTGAAAAACAAATGGTGGTACGACAAAGGAGAGTGCGGCAGCGGGGGAGGTGACTCCAAGGTCAGCCTCAATGTCACCACAATCGGGTACCTTAGTCAAGAGTAATCGGCAAGGCTGTTATTGTACTTGTCAAGGAAAAAGACAAAAGCACACAGATTAGAACCATTGGAATAACCACAGGGGAAGTTGCTCACTTGCCCAGTAGCTTTTTTAATGAGATGGTCTTATTGCACCGTTTTTGATCAAATGCGGAACCCTTATTTTACTAACAGACAGAGGTCGTTTGCCCTGCAAGAGTTGCACTAATCGAGTAAGTGCTCATAATTATTTAGGAAAATAGTTATCTCGTATCAATGCAGTGAGAAGAAGGTGCTTCATAAGCTTTGGTCCCAAATTGACATATTAGAAATTCAATGAATTGTTTCTTTGTAAGAGAATCGTTTCTTTTTATAGGGGAAGCCACTGGCCAGCGCAGATCTTGAAGTCTATAGGATCAGTTCTCCTTAGCTCCTTTGCTGTTCTAGAATGAGCATTGCCTGCCTCTCTAAGGGCCCAGTATTGTTCCCACTGATATTAGAGTCCAGAAGGGAGACGTTTCTTACTAGAGGTTACCTATAGCTCAGAAAAGAAAGAGTTGTAAAACCATTTGTGAGACAGGCTCAATGCATTGAAGTGAAGTAACTATTCTAGAAACAAAATAGTGTTAGGCCAGCACTTTGCAACCTTATTAGACTCATGGCACTCCTCCTTAGGCTCAAGGCATCCCTCAGAAAGTGTCAGCTCTTAGTTTCACTTGTTTTTTGACTACAGCGAAGTACTATAACAATTCTTCTGTTGCAGAAAACTCAGCTAGATCACAACAGGTCAGCACGTTTTTAATGCTTTGGATCCCTAGTTGAAATCTCTGGCTTTATCTTGTGAATCATGGTTGCACACCTAACAGTGCTAACATTGGCATCCCCCAGCACCCTTGAAAGGATCCCAAGGCATCCTAGGGTGGCGCAGCACCTTGGTTAAGAATCACTATTTTAGACAAACGTTACTGTCTCCCGTGACCCCCCCCAAATGCTAAGAAACATATTATAAGTACTTGGAAATTGCAGTACTTGTGGCTTGAAGTAGGAGATACACTGCTTGTACAACTGAAGTGTGTGGTGGGCTTGGGAGTTTACATTTACATCTGGAAATTAAGCTCAAAGAAAGCGGTTTCAGTAGCACATAGCCTAGAAGAAAAGTATGTACCGATAGTTATAGTAACTGGCATTCTGTACAGAGCTGAGATAAAATTAGATTTGCTGCTCTTTTTAAAGATGAGATCCTAACTGAATCCAACGGCACCAACAGAATCAGGATTATTACTTTAAACAGTATGAATCCTAGAGCGACACTTTAAGGTAGAGCCAGGACAGATGCTACGTTTATACTAGTGTAACCAGGCTTTACACCAATGTAAAAAGAGTGGACAGATCCACTCCGCATCCCAGTGTAATTTACACTGGTGTACAAAGGCAATGAAAAGTTACACCAGTACCTTCTGTCCAGGCCCTTCCTTTAAACAACTTATTTGTTGCAAAAGTTAATCAGTTTATATCCATATACTGCCCACTTCCTTGCACAGCTAATAGAGTTATGATTGCTTTTTCATTTGCTTATGTGATTGCCCAGGAACACTAGCTGGACTAGGTACTGTCATTGCTATGACATTGATGGTCATAACTAGAACAGGCATTGCCAAGAAAATTAATTAAATATGCCTTTTTGTATTGAAATGCATTGAAATTAATTTCCAGACTTTTTAAAAGCATAGTTAGTCAAATCCGTTCCCTATGGGACAATAACCTGTAATCTCTCTTATAAAATACTTCAGTATTGGTCCAAAATCCTGTAGTAACACTATTTTTAGTAAGCTGCAGAGCTTTGGACAGTTATTGCAGATTACTGTCGTATTTTATTAATAAGGGTTGATTACATCTGGCTACTTAGTGAATTAATCAGTTCCTTTAATCATCTTGAATATTAGCAAAAGCAGTTGGACAATAAAAAGAGAAAAGAGAGAGAGGTGAATTTCAAATTGATTTAATCACTCCAGTTCCTCAGGACTCATCACCAGACTAGAAAAATGGGTGGGTTTTTATGAGGGGCTTAGCTCCCATATTCATCCCATTCTATAACGCTCCACGTGCAAGTATATTAAATGTTTTAATTTCCTCTCAGGAGCTAACCCTGTACTCTCTGACCCTGCTCCATGAAAGACAGCTCTTTGTACAAGGCTGCTGCTTCAGTGGACCACATCACTGTGAGTTCATTAAATTACAAACAGCCGACCAACATTTAAAGCTCTGAGGAGTCTAAATAGGACACTTTTATAATGGTAATAGTAAGGGCAAGGTCATCTTTCTATTTTGGTATGTGTTCAGGCATCACTTGAAAAGAATAATACTCAATGCTAATAAGTACTTAGGTCTGTTTTAGTAGATGCTAAGGAAGCAGAGTCAGTTATTCCATAATAAACTAAACGGTTCAGGGAAAGAAAATGGAAATGAGAACCTTGATCTTGCTATTTTTAATCTTGTTAGCTATTTATTTGTAATTTATTGTAGCATGCTGTGGTTAAGGACTAGTTGAAGTTTAGAGCTGAAACAACCAATTATCAGGGGCTTATAGCTCAGCTAGCGCAAGTCACCTGGGAAGCGAATGTGGGTCAAATGTAGAGATTTTCTTGGTGGGAGGGCTGTGGGGGAGAGTGCGTGTTGGAGGAAAGCGCCTTACAATTGATTAAGCTGGGCAGGTGCTCTGCTTTATTTTGTTTCTGGTTTTTAGCCATTATTTGTAGGGCTGTCATAAATAGGCTTTCAATTAAAGACAGCTCCATCTTAAAAAGTAACATTTTTGCCAGTACTTAATACTACAGGCTGGTATCCTGGCATTCAAATATGAAGAGTGCTGCCTCAGGTAGCATAATTCTTTTGAAGGATTGTATTGACATCATATACCATTAAAGCAAAGTTCAAGCTGTCATGCGAACCCCATGGGAAGACTGTAGCCCTCTACATGTACATATGGCAGGTACCAGTACGTCACTTCAGATTATATGTGGTTAAGGACAGATCTGAATTCTCTTTCTTTTTCTCTTGCCTTTTCTTTCCCCCTCCTCCCATCCAAAACCCTACTTTCCAAGGGAGGCAAGAGTATTTGTTGCTGCCTTCTCTCATTGTCCTCCTGGCTCCCCAGTAAGAATTACATTAATCATTGGTGTTGATTGGTGAAGGTGCAAGTATGAAACAAAGTGGAAAACTTGAATAAGACACACAACAAGTCCTTTAAAGCTTTTGTTCCCAAAGATTTCGGATTAGCAGCTGGCATCATTAGTATATCTCACTTTTCTTGGTTTAATGCATATGAATGCGTGTGGGGGGCATCTTGCACATCAATAATATTCACAATTTGGCTTTCAGTCAAAATTAAACTGACACTGAGCTAATGCAAATATGTCTTCATAAGCTTGAGTTTTGAAATACTGCATTCTCTGTTTGCAACAGATACAGGCAATAGAAGAGAATCTTGAGTGTGATTAATGCATTTCTAAAGAAAGACAAAAGCTTATTTTTGCACAGGAAACCCCAGTGCAAGATTTGGCTGTATTCCAGCTTTCAGCCACTTGCCAAGAGTTTGAAGTTCATTGCAAAGATCGAGGCCATGGAAGCCTCTCCATCTAATGTTTTTCTTTTAAAAACGCAGTACTGTTGTAATTCTTGGCAAGTCATCTTAGATGTCAGAGATATTCAAAAAAATTGAGCAACAGTTGTAAAAATGTCTTCAAGTGATTTGAAAGCAGTATCCAAAACATAATAGAAAAAATTAACATTATAACTCTTTTCTGACTTAAATAATGGTTCATCTCTGGCCTTGTAATCAAACACTCTCATTTTGGTTCAAGAGTGGCTGAGCTAGGCTGCTAGAGTTATAGTACACTGTAAGCTGAATATGCCTCAACATTATGCTCTTGTTGCCAAAACCAACAGCATACCGAGTTGTTTTACCAGAAGTGTCATTTGCAAGTCAAGGGAAGTGTTTCTTCCATTCTCTTCGGCACTGATGAGGCCTTACCTGGAGTACCATGTCCAGTGTTGGGTATTGCACTTCAAGACCTAGACAAATTGGAAAGAGTCCTGTGGAGAGCAACAAAAATAATTAGAGATCTAAGAGACATTACTTATAAGAATAACCGTAGAAGAACTGGGATGACATAGTCTGGAGAAAAGAAGACTGCGGAAAATTTGATAATGGTCTTCAAATGCTCGGAGGGTGCTTATAAAGTAGAAGACAAAAGACTATGCAAATCACGCCCTGTGGCTGCAATGGACAGGACAAGAAGTAACAGCCTTAAGT